GGCAGAAGGCGCTGGGGAAGGCGTTAAAGTCAAGCTGGGCGGCAAGCCCAGGGCCCTGCCATGTTAAGTCAAGCTGGGCGTTGACCCCAGCGCTTGTTTGGAGCCCCCAAGGCCTGGCCAGGAGGTGGGGTTCACTCCAGGCTGAGGTCTGGCATCGCCACCATGCTGGCTGGCCTCCTATGGCACAAGGCAGTGAGGAGAGAGCCCCAGTCTAGTGCTGCTGGGCCACTGGGCTTGCCAAGGGTGATTAACCAAAAAGGGACAAAGGTTTATCAGGAAAGGCCCCCGTAAAGCAACATGAGTTATGTGGTGTCTTCTCAAACTGCGTTTTACATGAGATGAAGAGGAGCTTTTGGCCCTGTTGAGAAGAACAACCTCTGAGGGATGAACAACAAGCTGAGGGATGGTCCTTTTTTTAGGATTTAGAGACAGGGACAAGTTCCCGTGGGGTCTTCCCCTGCCCCCATGATTCAGATCATTTTGAGATGCTGCCTTTTCTTCTCCCCCAGTATTGGATATTCTACCACTGTCCTAAAACAGACATTATTAGGACTTTGTGTTTTGGTAATTGTTTAAGATAGTTCAAATTTTATACCAGTGCCTGTAATAGCCTCATATAACGAGGTCACATGCAACCAGTTCAGGCCAAATAGCAAGACTTGGCCTCAAGCCCAGTGTAATAGCACTATAACACTATTGCTGGCTGCAGGGATCCTTTCATACCCATCACTGTTTTGTTCTGGGCTACTTTTCACTAAGAGATAAGAATAAAACACAGTGCTGTTACTTTTTTTTTTGCCTCCCCAGTGAAAAATAACTCTTAAATTTCTAATCATGAATGGATGGTGTGTTTGGAGGAACATTTTCCAAAGGTTTTTCCAAATGAGAAATTCACCTCTGTCACATGCTGCTCTCAGTGTGACTGTGCTGGTGAAGTAAAATACAAAATTATGTTTTCCATAGAATTCCCTGTATAGGATTACCACAGGGGAAAAAAAAAAGTATTTAAAACAAGATTCTTTGTGTACAAGTGATGGGCATGGCCAGGAATTGGAGGCACATGCAAACTAGGATAGAGACCACAAATATACAATGCTGAAACAGGAGAGGAGTGCGGATGCATGACAAAAATGAGATGGAGACAAGGCGGGAGTCTGAATATGACCGAAGCTACAAAGGTCTTGATGTGTATTTGGAAAGATTCCCTTCCACATGCTCCCAGCCCAGGGATTCACAGAATTTTTTTTGGTGTGAGTTAAGTTCAAATGAATGGTGATGGTGCAGCCAAAATTCTTTCCACCTGGAGAACAAAATTATGTCTCACACTAGGTTTTTAATATACCATTTCACCGCTTAAAAACAACAGGAGAGGTGAATGACTGGACCTTCAGTGATAGATTTCTGATGGTAGAGGGCTCTCTGATCTGACATTTGATAACAAGATGCAATGGTAAGACATTGAATCTAAGACAGATTCAAACCAGGAACCAAGAGCAAATTTTTAAAAAGGGTAGTCAAAATTTATTTTATTGTGATGTATGGGGGACAGATACGTGCAGGGACAGAACCATGTAGAAAACAAACCTGCCAAAAGATGGGTCCGTCAACTTATTGCTAAGGTAACTATTTATCTTCAAAGAGTTATATGAAATTTATGATCTGAAGAATGCAGGAAAGAGAAGGGCTACTGAAAATTAAACACTGTTTAAATTAATTGTCTCAATCAGTGTCAGCAGACATTTGCTCTAAAATAATTTGTATCTCAAAGGTGTCAAGGATGGAACCCATAAAACTCCTCTTTAAAAATAGACTTACGTCACTTCAAAGACCAGAGCAACTCTGCTTAAGATAGTAGTAGTATTGGGCTTCTTCAGGCTTGAGGAGTCCAGCACTTGTCACTGCATTACAGCTATGCTTGCTGGGCGTATCAGATACAGCAACCAGAATAGTCCAGTGGTGCCAAGATGTACAGCAGTCGCATCCAAGAACGCAGACATAGAGACGAAGCTTGTTGATTGGCACCACGGGGCAGGAAATAGAAGACTTTATACTTTTTTACTGTACTGGTAGTCTTTTTAATACATACCAGTTTTAGAATACCAGACATTTTTTTCTATCCTTATCCCAATAAACACTTCCATTAGGACACAGACCAAAGAAGTAATGATATGGTATTAGTGCCAGTCCAAGTTTAAGATTGGTTACATATAATCTGAAAGCTGTGGCTGTTGGTTACATGCTATCTGCTATTTCTGTCTATATCATGTTCCTGGGTGTAGGAATTTGCATTCATTAGGCAAGAGTGTAAGCCCTACACCACCTCCTGATTTAATTTTTCCAGGAATCGTTGCACTTCAGATCTGTCTATTTACACCTAGGTTGTTCTTTTTGTGCGTGTGTGTGTTCTTACAAAGCCAGTTTAGGCTGATAAATAAAAAACACAGGCAACTGGCTTGCTCTTTTTTAACATTTTTAGGTTGTTTACTTAGACAAAAATGCTGTTCAAAACCATAAAAGAATGATTTTGCACCAAGTTTTACGGTTTGAATACTGACCGATATTTGACAATGGTGAAAGAAGTAGCTCTGCTTTGAAAGCCACCAACGCACAAGAGGCCTTTGCAAAAATTTCACTCACTAGTTGTTATTTCTTCATGTGAATGCTGATTTTCTTTTACATGCATCACCTGTGCTTTGGTTGCTTTTTAAAGCTGTTTATAAATGTCATGGTGTCAGTTAATGAGCGAGTCATTTCAGTAAAACCTGAGTTCTGCCTGGTTGTGAAACTTCATCCAGAAGTTGAATTGAAAGTTTTTGTGGTTTAAGAAATTCATTTTTGTTGTTTTCTTCATTTCTGTTGCACTTCTGGTTTGGGGAGATTTGGGGAGAGAAACGGAAGTGGAGAAATGGTATGAAAGTGTCTGTTTTTGCAAGATTTCCAGTTTTATTTTGCAGGCCCAAGGGATTCAGATAAGCTTTAGAAACCATACAACTTCTGGAGTAATCTCCCAAGGTAAATATCAGAAGTGTTGTCTCTTGAACAAAGGCAACTTGATTGAACAAAACATGTGAGACACAGGGGAAAACAACAGAAGCAGCAAAATGGCAACATATCCAGGATTTACATATGATATGTTTAATGTTATTTTCAAATATATTACAGCAAATCTTTCTTCAAATAAAAATTACAAATTAAATGCAACATTTAAAAATCATGACAAATTAAGGCTTTGCTGTGAATATTTTCAGAAGTGGATTACTGAACAGGCTATCACATTTAAAAAACTAACCAAAGCAAAAAAAACTATTTTCCAGGCTCAAGTGCAGATATTTTCATTTACCTCAAATCAGGCTGCATGTGTCCTACTGAAGTCATCCGACAATTTCGACGTTACAGTGAAGAGAGGTTTGATTTACTGATAGGAGGTCGGATGGTAGAAAGGATGCTTGAAAAGGTATTTTCCTTCTCCTCTAGCTGGGAGTATAAGCCTCCAGCCTTCACATGAAGTACTCCAGAGAGTTGCTGTAGCTTTTTGAGTCATACTAGACATCCAGTTTTAAAGATATGTGGCAGAATTCTCTGTGCTGGCCAGTTGCAGGTATTCCAGGGTACCTGATCGGTAGCTAGCTACCCGTGAAGGCTTCTGTGTCTTAAACCCTTCGTTTTCCCTTTTCTGAAGAATATTTGTTATCATCTCTGCTAAGTCATCTTGTAACCGCTGCTGATTCTCCCTGAAAGCAACAGGATAGAAAAAAAATTCAGTGATTCACATGTTTTTAGTGATCCCCAGATCCCCAGTGGTTTTTAAACATTTCTATCCTATGTTTATCTTCATGACGTTCACACACTACTGATAGAAAGTGTGGCCTACCAAATTCAGGTTCTGGATTTGAGAATAGAATTCAGGATTTACATGTGATTTTTCCAGATAGTATGGCTCACTCTTTCTGCACAGGAGGTCTGTAGCTGTGTCATTATCGACCTTAAAAAAATTTCAGCATCATTTGCATGAAAAGGAAGACATGAATTAGATCAACTCCACATCAAAATAGATTCTAGCTCTCAACACTATTACTGGTGCCAGCACTTCCACTCTTCAACTTCAGGTGGCCTTCAGTAACAGAGTTGCCAACTTTTCATAAATTTCTGCAGTGTGTCTGGCTTTTGCTGGACTGCCCCACATATGACAATTTTAAGGGGCAATTTTATCAGTCACAGCCTATATGAGGAAGCGAAAACAAAAACATCACTGACCACAGTAATCCAGTTTAAGAGGTACTTTCAATAGTTGAATTCCAGAAGAATTGCCAATTTGATAATTCTGATAGTCTCAACTGATCATACTAATTCAAAAGAGGAGTTCTCAGTTTACAAAAGAGTAATTTCCTGCTCGGCCAGAGGCAAACACTTGTACTTTATATAGTTGCTTCAAGTTGTACTGAAACACTGTCATTTCAAAGCAGATGGCAGCAAATTCCCACTTAGTAAAGAGCGACTGTACACAGGAGTTTAGAGCAGAAAGTGAGGAACTTCCACATTTAGTGAGTTTGCAGGAAATAATGCAGTACTCATATGCAAAATACACATGAAATAAATGCAACCAGTTATCCTGACTTCAATTTTGCATAGTTTCTCAAAAACAACACTTCCGCTCTTACTATATTTTATTCAATACTAATGCAAAATGATAGCTCAGTTACAGGACATCAACCTGTCCTGGTTTTGGCTGGGATAGAGTTAATTTCCTTCCTAGTAGCTGGTAGAGTGCTGTGTTTTGGATTTAGGATGAGAACAATGTTGATAACACACCGATGTTTTAGTTGTTGCTAAGTAGTGCTTACACTAGTCAAGGACTTTTCAGCTCCCCATACTCTACCGACTGAGAAGGCTGGAGGTGCACAAGAAGCTGGGAGGGGGCACAGCCAGGACAGCTGACCCAAACTGGCCAAAGGGACATTCCATACCATGTGACGTCATGCTCAATACATAAACTGGGGAAAGCTGGCTGGGGGGGCCGCTGCTCAGGGACTGGCTGGGCATCGGTTGGTGGGTGGTGAGCAATTGCACTGTGCATCACTTGCTTTGTGTATTATTATTATTATTAAATTATTAAACTGTTCTTATCTCAACCCACGAGTTTTCTCACTTTTACTCTTTCAATTCTCTCCCCCATCCCACCGGGGCGGGGAGAGTGAGCGAGCGGCTGTGTGGTGCTCAGTTGCCGGCTGAGGTTAAACCACAACACAACCTCATATTTTTTTCTTGATAACTTATCTCTTACATATTAGAAAGTAAGCTTTTGTTCAATTTTTAAAGACTTTATGCCTGTGCCATACTACAGGAACTTTGTCCACCTCTTCTAGCAGAATACTGCTCGAAATCCTCAAGTTTCATTCTTCCTATGAATTCCCCAACAAGAGCTCACAGGCATAACGTGGTATTACAGAGAGCTGCACATTCAGTTGCAGTTATCCTCTCACTGTACTGTCACACACAGGTGCCATTAGGACTAAAGTTTTGGGAATATTAATGTTTTTCATTTTTCTGTCCATCTCTTGCACTTGCCACATCAGCAACTTGTCCTGTAAGTCTTATTTCCCTTCCAAGGAAATTAACCTGTTAAGCGCTTATATATACAAATAACCTTCAGCACACGCATAGTCCCATGTCATTAATATTTACACATGTTTATATGCACATACACTGTTAAGCCTCTAACTACTGAAGGCAAGTTGAGTGGTGTAAAAAAACCCACAAGTGCCAGGGAGAAACAGTGAAGGCTAAAGCGCAAAGACTGGGAATTTCTCTTCACTTTTCACATATAAAGATCATCTTACACAGAAGGAGGTGTTGGGAGATTGTATTTCTTGTCCTCAGTACCCGTCAACCAGTAGGTAATCTCTGTTCCTCTGCCCTAAATATGCATGGCAAAGAAGAGAAAGCACAATTTAGGCATTAGAATGCAATTTCCTGTAGTTTAATTTACAGTATTAAATAATACTGTATTGCACATTGCCGTGTTTGCCTTTGCTTGTTTTCAGTAACTGATGCTCACAGCAAAGGATTAAAAATCAGATGTGAGAAGAAGAATAATGGGGGAGATGCAGCTGCACACCCACTCCTGTGTTCCATCACCTGAAACACACGCCATGGGAGAGGTGAGCTGTGCTACCTGCCATCAGCTCCCAAATACAGACATCTGCCAAGTGTAATAGACTGAAATAATTGGATTGGTAGATAGACAGCCAGATATCAGAGCATGAGCAAATTAACAATAGATTCAGCTTCCCTTCTATCAGATTAATTCACTCCACAATTTTCTGTTACAAATGGTATATTTCATTTATTCTCCACATCTTTATGTTGCTTTAATTTATGACTTAGGGAACTCTTAATTGTCTGCATTGTCTTTATAGAAGTGTCTTCAACCACTAGACTGTGATACCAATTGATCTGTAACCCTTGTTGCCCAGATGTCAATTAAGTTGTGGGGTACTCTCAGCTGTATACTACTTTTATACTATCCCTCTTGTCTGTGTTCATGCATGTGCATGGTAAAGGTTACCTTCAAGTATGTTTCTCCTCTCACTTCATACTGGAATCGGCAGTCTGTTCTTTTCAGGATGTTAATAGTGGAACCACTTAGATGAATCCTTAAAGCTAAAAAATAAAGACACAATGAAAGCTCAATCTGGAAATGTACCACATAATCATATTAAGTATATGTGAAAACTGGTGCTATAGCAGAAGCTCCTCCAATTATTATCAACATAAATTCTGAGAGTCAAATTAAATGAGAATCAATTACACCGCTGTACGAAAAATCTGACTCCACTACATAGCATTGTATCTAGGGAGGAATAGCTGGTACAGCCATTGATCTGAAATACAGGTGACCGTGGTATCTGTAGTATTTAGATGCCAAAAGGGAAAAGAATAATTGGGAGTGTCCTATACAGAGAATAGTCATGTGAAGACACTGGGCAGAAGGAAGACAAACTGGCTTTTGGCACAGTTTCCTAATGGTGAAGTTGAAGACATAATTGCTTCAACTTAAAATATACAGTCAGCATATTTACACAACAGAGCTGTAATACAATTCTAGGTCGAACTAAAATCTACCATTCATAGATTAAAATTAAATCCCAGACATGTAAGTATCATACCTTCCAGAGGAACTCAGGCAGCGAACCAGCCTACGTACTCCCTGTTACCAGCACTGAAGCATGAACAAGGAACAATTCTTTGCCCAGCAGGACAGTGAAACAATTGGTAATCAAAACAAATAGGGCTTCTAAACCTTTAAAACTGCTGCGAGCTGATAATAAGTTGTTCTCAGCTGAAAACAGACACTTCAATCACAAACTAACCAATAGCCTTTGGTCTTGTTACACTGACAGCTAAAATTAAATCCTTACGCAAGCCTGTGGATTCCATCCGTGAAGCTGTGTTCACTGTATCTCCAAACAAACAGTAACGAGGCATTTTTATTCCAACTACACCAGCCGCACATGGACCTAGAAATGGGATGCAGAGAATGAAAAAAAGGTGGATCAAGACACTATTTGTTTGGAAGGTGTCTCACAGTTGCAGAGCAGTGCAGTACCTGCTGGAGCTCTGTGCTCCTCACCGATGACAATACTCTGTACCTCACTTCCCAAAGTATCTGGTGGTCCCCCCTTCCACTCCAAACCAAGCCTAGCTCTGTTTGTCTTGCATAATTCAATAAGAGCATAAAAAGGACATGGCTGCACAGTGTTAATTGTATTTAAACACACTTTTTGGCTGAAAAAAATACAGTTACTAACTGTCAGTTTTGGAAGCAAGAGGAAAAGAAAATAAGCTTCGTTATGGAGGGGTGCACAGTGGTGCCTCAAAAGGTTTCCCAGTGGCTCAGTCACTTTCACAATGTATTCCTCCCCTGGCAGCTGGTGTTCAGGTGGTTGTTGAAACAAACAAAAATGAAAAGATAAAATTTCCCAAAGTACTTGGGAGTTATCTGCTTGACCTATCTGCAGTTCCCCTTTGAGAAAGATTATTTTTATGTATTAATTAAAACATGAATTCCCACATAGGCTTGTCAGAACTTTTGCCTCCAAAAGCATAAAATACAGGCCTGCATTTTGTTACTAGACAAGCATATCTGGCCATGGCTGATCTCCACTTTGGTCAGGAAGGAGCAATCTGCGAAGACTTATTTGATACAACTGGCTTAATCATACCAGGAACAATGGCAGTTGCTCTTCCTAGCTACTGGCTTAAGCTATGAATTAATGGGTATGGGCTATTTCACTACGGGGGAGCAAACCAGTGGCTTATTCACTTCTGTTGCTCTTCCCCCAGGTACATTGTTTTCAACCTGATTCTTCATGAGGAGAGCCGTTGTGTATGATGTACTACCAGATCTTCTATGGGTGTCTATTCTGTTCAAAAACAAGGCAACAACATTATCATTGTTGATCTACCACTACTGTGTACCAGAGTGAATTCCAATGCGAATCCAAACAGGCAGACCCGGCAGATGTCTCAGTTCAAAAGATCCCATGAAGCTGAGGATGTCCAGAGCCATCATGGAGATGTCTACTGCATGCCGGTTGCCATTCCTCTTTGGTAAACCACTCACCACCATGTAAGCATCACCAATGGTCTCCACCTGTGGAAACAAAATTAGAACTCACTAGCTGCAGACATAGCAAAATACATATTTAGTTAAAAGCAGAAAGGTTTTATCAGATCCTCTTGTTCATGATTAAACATTTCTTCCTTGGACAGCAGGATTGCTTAGTTTAAGGTAGCTGACACCTTTTTGGTATATGAGTGTTTATAACTGTACCCAGCATTCCAGTTAATGAATCTGTGACCACCTAGTATAGAAAATTTGGTATAAGCAGACACACTGAAAGCACATTGAAATGAGGTAATCTTGACCTGTTTTTCTCTCTTTTGTCTTTGCTTAGAATGCAGATTCCCAAATCCACCACATCATCCAATTTGATTTGTGTGTCCCCTGGTTGTTAACTGAGCAAAAGTGCGGAGCTAATCACCTTGTAAACATCATGATGGTCAAGAATGTGGTCAAAGTTCTTGTAGATATCATTCAGCATATCTACCACCTCCATAGGGGTGCTGTATTTGCAGAGTGTGGTGAAGCCAACAATGTCACTGAAGTAGATAGTGACTTCTTCAAATAGCTCTGGCTCTACCAGGCCAGTCTCCTTCAAAGACTTTACTACTGGCCTGTGGAAATAGAGAAGGCAGGAAGACAGATAAGTAGTCTGTGTTTAATATTAAAGGTATTTTTTCATGCAACCCAACCACATCATTGCTTTCTGTGTAGGAAACATCAAATACTTTGCTGAAAACTGCTACTGTAATTACATTTTTGATGCCCATAATGCCTTTCAGCCAGGGACCTCAAAGCACTCATTAATGTTAATTAATGCACTACAGCCTTACAAAATCCAAGTGTGTTAATAGCCATGAGGAAACTGAGGCATAGGAAAATGAGCTTCTTGGCTAAGGTCAGAAATAGGGATATTGAGTCAAATTTAAAACTGAAATTCTGAAACTTCTGACATGTAGACCTACATTCTACCCACATAATAAGTAAGAACAGACATATTTTTCTGTTTCCCCAGCGCAGAAGTAATTTCGTCCTGATAATTACATCACCTCATCCTGATTTCAGATGAGATATCATAGTCTCATAATTTTATGGAACAAAAATTCAATACCATGACAGTAAATATCTATTCAGAAGGACCTTCATTTTCTTGCATTTCTAAATCCAGGAAAATATCTGTTCCTAGTGGAGATATTAGAAGAGAATAACTGAAAGAGACCCAGAAAATTATAGGTGTTGCACAATGCTGTGTTCCATCTACAACGAGACAATAATAGAGTGGTAGGAACAACAAAGAGTGGAAGGACACAGGGATTCCTTGCCGCACAGCCTATACAGCCAGATCATTTCAAATTTTCCCTAAAACTGGATTGAACAGACACTTCTTTTTTTAAGATGAGTCATAAAATTAATACCCTGACTACTTAAATACCCTTGAAACTAGTAATGACATACCAGGATAGTTTTCCTATTCCAAATGTATGCAATACCAAAATTACTGGTATTACCAATATTATAATATCAATAATACTTGTCCTATACCATACTCTGAAGCATCCATCTAGCCCAGTCTGGCCCAGTATGGCACAGCCTACACAGCCAGATTATTTCAAATTTTCCCTAAAACTGGATTGAACAGACACTTCTTTTTTTAAGATGAGTCATAAAATTAATACCCTGACTACTTAAATACCCTTGAAACTAGTAATGACATACCAGGATAGTTTTCCTATTCCAAATGTATGCAATACCAAAATTACTGGTATTACCAATATTATAATATCAATAATACTTGTCCTATACCATACTCTGAAGCATCCATCTAGCCCAGTCTGGCCCAGTATGGCCCAGCCCACCTCAGCCCCTCTGTTGCATTGCTAAAGCCCAGCCAGAAGTTGGACTGCTCTCCTGCTCTCCAGCTGGAGACACTCCTACCTAGCAAGGTGCTGGAGCAGAACAGAGCTCTGTGATGTGGGATCACTGTAGATCTATGTGTTCCCAGGAAGGCAGTGAAAAAGAAGTTTGTGCTGGAGGGGGAGAGATAGAGGAAGATAATGGGTCCCAGTACCATCTTGGCATGAAACTCCACCATAGGGCGGAGACCTCAGGGACAGCTGCTTCTTCTTTCCTCCCTAGCAGGATCAGATTAGAGGGGAAGGAAATAGAAGACTATTAATCCCAACCCCCACTCTCCAAGAATCAGGTGATCTATGTAAATAAAATGCCAGTGAAATCCTCCTGGCCAGTTACCTTGGAAGTAACATGAAATTAAGCCTGTCTGCTCTGTCTCGCTCTGCTTTGTACAGCTCTGTCCTTTCCTCCACCAGGTGCTCCAGGTTCCGGGAATACAGCTGTAGACGCCGGATCAGGGTATCCATGTAGCTTTCATTGGTCTGGCCATGGCAGTTACTGCGAATAACAGAAATACACAGGAGCCAACAAGAAAGGTTGATGGAAGCACATTGTTGAGAGAGGTAAAAAAGAAGCAAAAAAGGAGCAACAGAAAACATCTCCAGTGTTTGACTTCCATGTAGTTAGAATGCAAAGTGCCTCAAGTGCATCATTCTTTTGCTTGCTTGGAGGGCTTATGTATATGAATTGAAAGTCTGTGATCTCACTTGGAGCTGGTAATTCTTAAAGCACCCTTAAATCACCTAGCCCTGATAATATTGTTAACTCCAGGTTACCTTGGGTAATCCATGAACATTCATTTGTAAAAAGTAACTGACAAGCTCGAATCCTGAGAGGAGGCTAAAGATAGTAGGTAGAAAATTGCATATAACATTTAGATGGGGACTTCAGCCAGAAGGATTAAGACAATTTGCGGCTGCCTGTGTAGAAGACAGAACAATTCAATGGAACAATTAGCAGCCCCTGGGCTAGTTTTGCTCACAAGACCCTGCAGACTCCAGCCTACTAACTCCTGGAAGCAGAAGTATGGTAACACGAGCCACTCATAAACCCTGTTTTTCTGGGCAGCCTGCACTCACCAAAGCAGTCTGAAAGTAGATGGGGCCAGGCTGACTGGAAGAGTCAGATTAGTATTGTACCCAACTGGACTTTAAAACCACTCTTACTTTAAACAAATCTTTATGTCAGGGATGCACCATCTTAGACCCTCCATGAGGAGAACACCATGTTGCATATGGCAAGAGGCAACCTCTTTGCTTTTGTAAGACAGAGGCTTAGGAGCTGAACCAGGATGTCTTTCTATTCTGCTGCAGTAAGATTGTTCCAACTGATACATTCAGTTACGCATAGTGCAGTTGTTCTTCTGCCCATGTAAAGTGTAAAATGATGCGAGTACTGTTGGGGTTTGTTGATGAGGAGTTTTAAAAACTGAGGAGCAATTTCCTAAGAGAAGTGATTAAAAGGTCACTGTTTGGACATCAGAATAATTAATTCAGACCCAACTCTGTAGGAACAATACAGCATTGGCCAGGTAAAAGGCCTGTATAACCCCACAGGGTTTATCCAGCTATGGCCCTTATTATCCCACAACTTTATACCAACAAAACCCTGTAATTAATAATTCTGGTGAGTTACAACCCAACACTTCTAGTCTGCTTAATTTGGGACCATCCAAACTCATTTATGGCACAACCCAGCTCATCCAAACTTTCTAATCATCCTCCAAACATTTATGTGCATTCATTTCCCGAAACTTAGACGACATGAGTCACTATCCAACTCTTGACTTGAGACAGGGGGTGAATTACTTGAATGGTTTAAATCTCTAATTATCCAGCTTGCTACTTTCACAATGTACCAATGTGAGGTATGATGATCGTCTTACCCTCACTCAGCTAATACATGCATAAATGCTAATATACACACATGTACGTATACATACGCATGTGTTCACCTACTTTTCTGCCAAAGAGTAAAAGAGAATCTAAGTGAAGATACTCAGTTTTTCCACTGACTGAATCATAATCACATCAGCTTACATACTTAAAAGAGCTTTCTAACACTTAGGAGGAGTTTGGAGCATCTTAAAAAACGGAGCCCCTGCTGCTCACCTGAATATTTTAGCCAGAGTACTCTCAATTTTCTTAAAGTCAGGCCTTTTCTCTGGATCTTCCTCCCAGCAGCTCTTCACTAGTATATACACCTTTAAACAAAAATTTAAGGAAAGTCCACCTGAGTAATGGATATAGAAGGATAATGGTGCTAAACAGCACTAGTTCATCAGGGAATTTCCAGTTACTCTTGACCGGCAACATATTAAAATGTGTGACTAACTGTATTGAATCTATGGTGAGGACACTCATTGCAGGCATCTTAAACTTAACTCTGTGGTGACTAGTGACATGATCTTAACTTGAATTTGCAATACATAAATGAAAGGCAGGTAAATGGATCCAGTCTTGCAGCTGGTGCCTGATACAGTTATTGACATGGAGGTAAATGCTGTGGCAATTATATTTCCAATATCCTGAGTTTGGGATTTTTCTGAAACTGGTGATTCAGCCAAAAAGAATGGGGTTCATTGCCGAATATGTGGATGTCTACAATACAGACATTTTCACCTGAGCGAGAAGCCTTAGGAGCTATATAATCAGTGGAGAGAGGTATATTTGAGGTGTGATTCATCCCATCTTAAAGATATCTAAAGTAGGTCAGAAGAGTGGCACCATATAAGCGTCCATTTCTTTCCAGTGAAATAATTTTCATGAGTTGCATTTCATTTCACTCATAACAACTATAGAATACTGTTTTTTCCCATGAGGTTAGGTCATTTGGCATAAAATGTGCATAGCTTTCATCCTCCCATGATCATGAGCTCTAGTTTGGCCAGGACTTCCGCCCTTCACCCAGAAAATGGCTTAGTTAATTATTAGCTTACTTCCATCTCTCTTTCTCCCACTGTTTCCAAGGACAGGTCTGGTCGGAAAGGCTTCACTCCTTTGCCGCTCTCCACTCTGTAAAGTTTCTCTAACACAGGAAAAAGATGCAAAGTTTTAAACAAAAAAACGTAAGAAAAACACTCCTTGTGGATAGCGTCCTATGATGTTACGAGTTACTGTACAAACAGAAGCCTTAAAGACAGTTCCCTCATTTTGATGTGAATTTCAATTTTGGAGCTTTTCTAAATATATGGCACAGGATCAAAACAGGCTGGCTTGAAGGCCCCTGAAAGCAAAATGAATAGGAATGTACATGAGTATTTATTGGTCACGGTAGACATGGTTATGGCATCTTCCCAAATGAACGTTAGGCATTATTAGTGTGCCTCTCAGCATGAAGTATAGCTATAGTAAAAAACAATGTGAAAAGCCCATTGTGACTTGATCAAAAGTGTGGAGACATACAGATCTCATCAGAGCAGTTCAAATCATCCTGCAGATGCTCAGCTTCCTTAAAGCTAGGCTATTAATGTATATGGCTTAAAAACATTGCATTTGTTAGCTCATTTGTACTCTTATTAATGAAATCCTTTGTATGAAAGTTATTTGGATTCTGAACAAATCAGAATGCAGGCTGCATTTGCACAACGCGATTTAAACACAGTAAGTGAGAGCTAAAGCAAAAATATCTCTCTCTGTCCTTCTCCTCCAGACTTCAAGAGTTCCAGAGGGAGGGAGTTAAAAAAGAGAAGCAATTTTTTACCTCTGGGGGAGAGAAAGAGAAACTGAAAAGGATCCATGAACAAGCGTGAAACACATTTATTAATAATGTCTGATTATATTTGGGAGACAGTTTTACTGAAGGAAGCATATAATGAGATGAGGAAGGTTTGTAATCGTGATGGTATGTGCAAGTCTAGAGCAGTTAGGGATGCCTAAGCATGCCCAGTGTGCATGATCACCCTAAAAAGATGCAGTAGCTTCCAGCTTTGTGGTACAGAAATTACAGACTAGAGAAGGAGCAGGAGACTTGAGTCTCCCAAATGCTATGGAGTGGGAGACTACTAAGAAGTATTCTGTGGGCTAAGAGACAGAAGAATCTGTTTAAGTCTCATGTATGCAAGAGGAATGTGTTGAATTTCCATGGTGCACACACACCTGAGAGCAAAAGTAACAGCAGCTATTAACAATACTGCAATTAGCCAGTGGCAGAAAGTAGTGGAACAAGGAGGCAGCTTGAACTGAGCGTTGGTACTTGACAAGATTTCACAGTCTTGAGCAGTGAATGAGGTGTTTCTGCAGAAGAGTGGAGCAACCAGCTGGCCTAACAGCTGTCTCGCAGAGAAGTCAGTGAAGAGGACTATGACCTAGTTACTTCTGTACATTAGAATCCAGTTCTGTATGCCCATCGTCTTTGTGGGACTTCTTTTCTCTCATTAGTAGCAATATAGTTGTATGTTAAGTTGATTGATACTTATTTGCAGGTTGAGAAAATTGGCTCACTGAGTACCTGGAAGTTGAGTTTAATTTTCCTAAGTTGGTGGATGGAGGCTAGGTACGGGGGTTTTTAAACAACTCTTTCAAAATCTGAACACAGTCCTTGCTGCTGCCAATGAACTCCCAGAGGAGCAGTTATATCAGTTGTCCTGAAATATCAATATCATGTCTCCTAACTTGCAGAGATTAACCTCTGATAGCCTAGCCATTGAAAGACTTTCTGCAGGAGACTTAAAGCCCAAATGAATCTAACATGCAACAGGGACATTTCTTTGCCCATTACCATTGACTCTAATTTGGTATTCTTTTCCTTCTTCTTATCTTAGATATTTGTAAATGAATGGTCACCCCAGGTTTGAGCTACTCTCTTCCAAAGTTAGATGATGCCACAAACAAAATTCAAAGGTGTTTGAATAAGTATGGTCTGCCCTCTTGCTGCCTCATCTTGGCTAATGAATGAATCCAGACATTTAAATGAGGCGCCACTTCAGCAATATATAATAACACTCATTCCTTTCTGTTACATGAAATTTGATGAACTGCTGAAACTAGGCTGAACACATTTACTCAAACTGCATAATCAAAAATCAAGAATAATACCAAAAGTCATTAGATCAGCAATATATACCTTAGATAACTACTAATGCTTTTAAGGAAAAAGCTTTGGGGAGAAAACAATCTCCCCACTGAATGGAAAACTCAAAATTTCAACTGAAGTTTACAAAGCAGATTTTTTTTTAAGTTACACTGAATCCAGTCTTACTAAACAGGCTTCAGGCCCATTAAGTTTATTGCTGTCTTACTAAACATGCTGATATGTGTGACCATCTCCAGCAACAGCACCTAGAGGTGCTAAAAATTCTTTCAGTTGGATGGATTAACCTAATGCTATTTGAAAGGGACAGTCTTTCTAAAAAGACAAAATGCAGTGTTAAGAAACAGGTCAAAGTCAAAACAAGGAACTGGACTGTGACTATGACAGCCAGGGTCAAACACAGAGCAGTGAGGATACCACCACATCTCAGAAGAGCCCAGAAACACCGTGTCTGAGGCTAACTTAATAACCATTAACATAACACAGAAAGACTGTAACTGCTGAACAAACAGTTAAAAGAATGTAGTTTGCTATGGATTTGCTTTGCAAGTCAAAATGAGCAAGGAAGAGCATTGCTCTCTCCTTTCTCCATCTATTTTGGCGATATTTTTAAAATCCTTGCATTCATGAGGATTATGCCTGCCTCTTCCCAAGAAAAAGGAATAGAAAGACTTTCATTTTCTCTACCTTATCTTAAGCATGGAGTCCTGAAGAGTTTGCTTGAAGGGGAACAGGCATTTCTAATCTCTTTTAGGTCTACATTTATATTAAAGAGTTGATGATGTGAAATACTGTGTTTCCCCAAATATGAACATAGATTTGCGATAATGTAGGATGATGAACGTGCCCCAGAAGTTATTCTCAAAGGTAACTCAGGAAAAGAGCTATTAGGCTGTCCAGCTGCTGCTCTAGATGTTTTAACAAATGTGAGGCGGATCTATCAGAATGACTCAGAGGTAAAGGCAATGTCTAAACTTGTTGTTGGTAACTGTCACTAGGAAAATCCCAAACCCACACATGCTTTTATGTCAGTTCTAATATGTAATAATGCCTGGATTCTGGGAACTGGGATTGACTGGGCTGTTAGCCACTCAAAAACAATGTCACAAAATGCACAAAATGGGGTTTAATGGATGTACTACAGGAGGAGATGCTTTTTCTGACAGAAGTTAAATGACTAAAGTTAATTGTGACAGGCTTGAATAAAGTCTGAACTGCCAGTGTTTAAATGCCAACTGTTCTTGTGTCATGCTGCTGAGTTTTTGTTGTTCTGTGTTGACATTGCTGATTTACAATGCCTAATATGAGTGAATTATTCTATGTTGTGCACAACTCATAATAGAAAAACCTTTGTGGCCTTTAAATGTTACAGTAAGTCTGGACAGCATTGTATTATGTTAACTTCTGTAATGCTGTGGCCAAGGTGAGAAGGGAGGAGAAAGGGCAAGAAAACTCAGTGCAAACTTTATTTACAGAAAGAATAAGGACACTTGCCCCCACAGTGAGATCCTTCAAACAGACTCTTCATTCATTACACAGTGAAAGAAGCAGCTGTTCAAGCAGCTGTCAGAGACAGTGCCTTTCACAAAATGTGAAGAATGGGCCAGTTACAGCTACACCATCCTGGAAGGCTGCAATGGAGGAGAAATTTGTGGATTTACCTTTGTAGTCCCAGCATTGTCCAGTGTAGAAGGTCTCCCTGCGTAGGATGATTTCTTGGGCAATGATCCCGTAGCTGTACACATCACCCTTCTGAGATACATCAGCATAACGGAGATGCTCAGGAGCTGTCCACAGGTCTGAAGATCCAGATGACAACAGGGGATGAGGTAAAGGGGGAAGGGAGAGAATTGAAAAAGGGTGATCCTTCTCAGAGCATCCATTGACTATAGTGATATTTCCTTTTACTCTTTCCATATCAAACCCAGAGCCCACTGGTACTGTTTATTTCCTATTTTAGCATTTTTCTTGAGAAGTTGACATCAATACAGGTTAGATAAACCTCTGATGTGGTAGTTTTCAATTGTCTGGGATTTGCTGACCCTACTATTTTCCACTGTAGATGCAGACCCTCACACCTCCAAAAAAGTTATGGTTATTGGCAATGAACTTGCTTTTCTTAGCTACCTTTCATGGGCTCCCTAGAAATAGCCTATGCATCTGTATAAGACCAAGGAATGCCAGTGCTATGAAAAAAAAGCTGAGCCATAAATTATTGAGCTAGATGCATGGAGTTTGTTATACAAGATGTCAGATGAGAAGACTCTATTTCCCAGTGGCCTTGATATCATAAATCTATTTAAATAATTCTCAAGTGCTTTTGAGCCTGACATAATATTACTTGCTCATAACCAGTTTCTTTCTACAGAAATTATTAACCTGTATTTCTAGTGCAACAAGCATCACTGTACCTCAAAACCAGAATGCTGCCATGGTATGACAGTTTGTTATGACATGCTGGTGATGTATCATAACAGTGACCCTGAAGACAGTGTTATGATATCAGGCTGCAACATCCAGCCACAATGAATCTGTAGATCTCTTGCGAAACAGTAGGTTTTCTTCAAGAAATCTAGTAGCCAGAAATTTTGAGGCTGCTTGTCAGAGCATTTATCTTATGAGCAATGAAAGAAGAGAAATACATTACAATGTAATGATAATATAAATTTAAATATGAAATTTGTAAAATGAAGAATGAATAGAGCATTTACATTCAGTGCACTTTTCTTACTCTTTTTTTATGTTCTCATTGCTACTCTTGACCATGTTTGAGTCTGAATGTAAAAATTTTCTCTCAACCCAGTTGCAACCAATCTTATGAGCAATGAAAGAAGAGAAATACATTACAATGTAATGATAATATAAATTTAAATATGAAATTTGTAAAATGAAGAATGAATAGAGCATTTACATTCAGTGCACTTTTCTTACTCTTTTTTTATGTTCTCATTGCTACTCTTGACCATGTTTGAGTCTGAATGTAAAAATTTTCTCTCAACCCAGTTGCAACCACAGTTTCTTCTCAGATTATATACTACAGTTATGGCATAGCTGTGCTTATGTACCTCAAAACCAGAATGCTGCCATGGTATGACAGTTTGTTATGACATGCTGGTGATGTATCATAACAGTGACCCTGAAGACAGTGTTATGATATCAGGCTGCAACATCCAGCCACAATGAATCTGTAGATCTCTTGCGAAACAGTAGGTTTTCTTCAAGAAATCTAGTAGCCAGAAATTTTGAGGCTGCTTGTCAGAGCATTTATCTTATGAGCAATGAAAGAAGAGAAATACATTACAATGTAATGATAATATAAATTTAAATATGAAATTTGTAAAATGAAGAATGAATAGAGCATTTACATTCAGTACACTTTTCTTACTCTTTTTTTATGTTCTCATTGCTACTCTTGACCATGTTTGAGTCTGAATGTAAAAATTTTCTCTCAACCCAGTTGCAACCACAGTTTCTTCTCAGATTATATACTACAGTTATGGCATAGTGCTGTGCTTATTATACACCAAGCTCTACCATACAGATTCAGATGACATAATTTCAGATGGGCTCGTCTTTTCACTCAAGATCAAGTAAGAAGGAAAAGATGAGTAGAAAGGAGTGCTGTATTTTACCGAAATTTCCTATGAGTATGAGATGGATAGAAAATGTAAAGAAAAGCTGTTCAAATTATTCCAATCTGATTGAACACATATTGCTAGATTCCTACCTAAGGAATGAAAAACATTAAGGTTATCATTGCCTATCATTACAGGTTCTTTTAAGGATGATCAGAGTCACAAGTGTTAATGTTTAAATCACAGAGCACTGCAGTAACACGTGCATCTGATCAATGACAAGATCATGTGGTACTTAACTCCTTTTTTTCTTCACACAAGTTCAGCATTACTGCTGAAGAGAGCTGTTTGCATGAAGGCCTTGGATGCTGAAAATGTCTTTTGCATATCAGCCACATGTGAAGTCTCTGTTTTCTAAACTGTAAGTTGAAAATTCATCTTTCCTTTCCTTCTCGCCTACACTGCCCAGTTTCTTTCTCTACCTGCTAATAATTCTCTTTCATTGTGTTATTTAAGACAGTGTTTTCAGATATCATTTGTATGATGGCTGCTATATGAAACAAAATCATATTGTATGTTTTGTACTGTGTACAAGATATAATTAGGCCCTACTGGACTATGAATATAAGAAAATTCCATTGGGTTGGAAACCATGAAGGAGAGTCCAACTGGGTAGTTTTTACCTTTCCTTGGAGGCAGAATTGAATTACAGCCAAAATCAGTGATCTTCACTACCATGCGATTGTCTACTACACAGTTTGTGGATTTGAGTCGACCATGGACTTCAGTTTTGCTTGAGTGCAGGTAAGACATCCCCTGTGGTTGATAATAAAAGAGGAAAAAAGCAAGACTACATGTGAGACACTCAGCAGTTACCAGACTCAACAAGAATGTGAAGTATTAGTGTATATCTGTCCAAGTAATTAAATTGCCTTCATCAGCAATGGATATGCATAAATCACAATTCCCTGTCATGGAGGGAAGCAAATATTATTTTACAGAGGAGACTTTCCAAGATGACAGGAACAGTCAATGTTAAGAAATGAGGAGATGGATCATTAGAAGGATCATGTCATGGAAGACCATGCTTCCTCTTAGTTAACAGAAGTCTGACATAGCATCTTGGGTTTTGGTAAGATTAGAACACAATTAAGCAATTAGGAAAACTTATTTCCTCCCACATAAGTTTTGATTTCACTTGCAATAAATGCTTTTTTGGTAAATTTAGCACAGATTTGTTGGGAAGTCACACAAAAAAAGTGCTTCTGACTACATGTTCATCCAATGGACACCATAGGTGTGAGAGGAATTGCTCTTTATGTCTGTATTGTCTTTGAAGATTACCATACACCAGAGACTTCATTCAGAAATGTTGCAGCAGATCTTCTTCTGCAAAGCAGAGGGCTAAAGAGGGGCCAATGCAGAGAGTGTTAGATGATGCACTAAGGCTTATGTAAGGCAGGGGATCAGATCAGACAATCATAAAGGTCTCTTCTGACCTGGCTGATTATGGTTTTCTCTGTACTAGTCAATACATATCAGCTATCCATGAGCTAAACTCGGAAGTGGGCACCATGAGGACTGGCCGATGCAGTTTCAGCTATGTTTCCTGAGATTTAGACTCCTGACTCACAACACACACAGGCGTATGAAGGTGTGTAGTTCGCCCCTTTTTACTCATCACCTCTGAATTTATCTCATTTAGTCTAAGACACTCGAATAGGGTGCAATACATGAGAAGGGGCCAGCACTGAGGCATAGCAGGAAAAGAACATTAGTAAGTGGGCGTAAACTGAAGAAGGGAGTAGGTATGCTAATTTGCACCCTCTTCCTATTATTTATTCTGTTTCATCTCTCTCTTCTGAACTACTTAATCTCACACCTACTTATAGGCTGCTGCTGGTTGTTTTACTTCCTATAGTCCTCTTTTCTGTAGCTCAGTATATGAAGCACAATCTATATTCTGTGGAAGCCAGAACAGGTACATCATATCTGTTTAGTTTCTTCTCTGAATGGTCTTCCACTTAGACTCCTACGTGTATAGCTCATCCTCTTGTATGATAACTGGTAGATAGACTTTAATCAAGGTTACATAGCTCATGTGGTCATGAATACACTGTATGACATGCTGGGTTTTCTCTCCTTTGGTACCTGTATTTGGGAACGGACCAGCAAATGCTGCAAGAGATCACTGAGACATGAGCTGAGTTTTGGGCACAGTAGATGTATGTCTGAGACACAAGCAGCCTGCAAGAGATGCAATCCCTGGAGAATGTTGTTGGACTGGTTATCCTGGACCTATCTAGACCATGCCAAAATTTACAGAGACTGTGTGCACACTATATCCAAGGAACATATTTCTTGATTAAGCAGCTTTTATCATGCAGCCCTGATGACACTATCCAGGATGTTTTGCCTGCTTTTGGCCCTATTTCCTCCAGCTGTGTGTTCTTCCAGCACCTGATTTCATCCAGGAAATATACCAATTGCTACAGCAGAATTCCTAACCAATTTCAGGATCAAATGGCAGGCAAAGGTAATTTTTATTTCCTCATACCAGAGCTTTCTTGTTAACAATTTCTGGAGCAGAAGTCTTATAGATGTGCCTGATAAAATTTTCCTCTTTCCTTCCAACTATCCTCTGCACCTACCTGAAAACACAGAACCTATTAAGAACCCACAATGTGATTTTCAAAATTTATAATGACTTTCAGCGCAGTACTCCTAAATCCTTGAGGCATTCTTGTAACCTCTGCTCTGAAGCTCTGAAGCTTTAGTTCTGACTGAGAACCCTTTTCCTGACACAGTGCAAGAATATTACAATCCCTTGCACAATATCCTACAGCAGCCCCTTATTTAATAAATAGTGTTGCAACGACAGTGTATGCACTAATAACTGCAAGGCTTGATTACTGCAATTCCTTCTTAGCAGACCTTTCATCAGAGCTCTTTGGTCACATGTAACCAAATCCACGTAGCTACAGGTGGTGCCATCAGACCTAGAGACAGCAAAGATATAGAAAAGAAAAAAACGAAAAAAGGGCAAAAAAAAGTAAATGGAGCAGATTTAGGGCTTCCCTTTGCCTATGCCACCTCCTCTAGTGGACTAGGGGATGCTGTAGGAATAGTCACTGCTTGGCTAGCTGTACCAGGGAATACAAATGATACAACCTCCTCTGTTCAGAAACACTGATGCAGCAGCTTCTGTGCCAGATGAAGAGTAGGTGAAGTACGAGGACTGGGCAACGATAAAAGCGGGGTGTAGGAAAGTGGTGGTGTGGAGAGGGAGGAGCATATCAAAAGGAAGACAGAGAAACTGCAGGAGCTGGTCATAGGGATTTTAAGAGCTTGGAGAGCTGGGCCTGGGCTTGAAAAGGGCAGATGCTGGGATGAGAGGAACTGGAGCTGAAGGGCTATGAAGTGACTTACGTAAAGCAAGAAGCCATTCAAGTAAAAATAGACAGGGTGCCCGGAGGCTGGGAAGCTGTGGTTTGGGAAAAGCAATACAAGAAGTTCATGGAAATGTCTAGGTCCCAGAGGCTCCACCACAGCATCAGGTCAAGGAACAGGAGAGGCTGGCAGATCATCCAAGTGACAATAAGTTTCCTGATATTCCTAGGTACATACAAGTTTTCGGGAAGATTTTGTGAACCATCTCTACTAACATGGCTAAAAATGCTGAGGAGTCATTCCACAGAACAGATGTGGTGTGCCACCTATCCTCAGACTCCATGTCCCATCCCCATTACCAATGGTGCAGTGAACGACTGGTTGTGAAGTCCCAGTTCCAGTGCAGTCACTGGGCATTTGGTCACTCCCTTCAGAGGGACTGGGATTTCTCTCTCCTTCTTGTAAACAGAGCCAGTACTAATCCCTATGTTCTTAGGAAACATCTGAAGGTGAACTGCGAAGGGTTAAAAAAAAAACGTGGTTTTTGATATGCTATAAGGAGGAAGGGAAACTCCACTGATGCTATTTAAAATGAAACTTAATGCTGAACGTTAACTGAACTTGAAAGTCATTAACACGGCCAACAAACTGTGACAATTTGGATTAAGGGGGCTTTAATAAAGAGCAAGATTTTCAATATCTCTTTAGAACAGACACAGTGGAGTCATTCATCATGGGAACCAATTCTGAACTGATGCATGTAGGGAAATGGGAGGACTTGTCCAACTGCAAACCAGCAATAGGAAGAGGAGAGCAGTTGAGCACTAGCAAAAAGGCAGAAGTAATTCTCTACATTACCTGCAGAGGTATGATGAATTATTATTCCTGTGAATTATAAAGGTTCCTTAACTACCAGCTAAACAGATACAAGTCTCTAATGTAGAATAGAATTTCCTTTACCGCTCATATTGAGTCTTCCTACCACAAGGACCTAAAATGTAAAGATCTGTTGAAAACTACTGAAAACCAGTCTTGGTTTCTGTACAGGATTAATTTCTTCCCTTTCAAACTGCCTGAAATGGATAGCTCTAGTTTCTAGTTTCTCACTCCAGTGAGTGAGAAAATCAGGATGCAAAATAAACAGCTTATTTAGAAAAAGTTTATCCTGTCTCTGGATACAAATTGGAATAATTCCATCATTTTGCAAAAATACAGTTTTCCTTTATATGCCTTACCTGAGGCCAGAGAGCAGTGCGTTTTGCAGTTCTTGTGACTGCACAGGCCCTACTAATCAGAGCCACTGGTCAACAGATTGTAACCCTCTGATCTTTGGGTCACATTTCTTTGGGGCATACTTTATTTGTTTATTTATAAATAGCCCAAAGCCAGCTCTGGCTCCCATTTCCCCCTTCACTTTGACAGCTACTGGCTCCTCCTGCCTCATACACCTATCCCCAGAGGAGATAGGTGTGGAAAGAGTGGAAAGGCATACATCCTCTAGCAAGGAAAGGAGAAGACCCTGAGAGCTGCCCTTCTCCAGAGGATCCATTTTGCAAGACAGGCACGTTGATTAACATTGCACTGTTAGCAGCCTGCTTACCTTGGCAATATCATACATGACAGAGATTTTAAATTCCCAGTCCATGAATGTGCCATCAGGGTAGGAGATTTTATCATTTAAAACATCCTGTGAAGAGAAGAAAAGAGTGGTTCTAAACTGCATCAGAGAAAAAGGAGAAGATGAGATAGGAGTATCTAAATCACGCAGCCTTTCAACCAGCAACTGAAAGAGGTAGCCCTTCATTTTTTATAAGGAGTACATGCACTAGAGCAGTTGACTCAAAAAACAGAATATATGAAATATATTTTAGGTTTACACAGAGAGAGAAAATTGAGGACTCCAGAAAAGAGGGTTTTGTGTAATTAAAGGTAAATAGTGAATTTGCTTTTAAAGCTGAGTCTTTAATAAAGCAAAATAGCTGAGATAGAAATGGGCAAGGTGTGCAAGAGGAAGGGAAAGGAATTTCTGTGGTTTGTGCTCACAGTCCATTTCCTACCAATTTACTCATGGCCTTGTAAGTTCAAAGTAGACTGTTCCTTTATCTTAAAGTGCCGGTCATGTACAGTTCTTCCAGCCACTATGATTTCTGTTGCTAAAAGTAAACCTCCATGAGTATGCCAGTTTACAAGAAAAGAACTAGAGATAGAGCTGTTATTTTGCTGCCTTGCTGTGAGTTTGTTCCAGAGACCACTGCTACTGATGAGAGTCTTTGTATGAACTCAGAAGCAGAGACAATGTGTGCCTGCAGAAGAGCTGATGCCAGCATTACTTTGTGATTAGCACTGAAATAATATTGGTAGTAATAAACTGTAAGTCTTTCCATAACTCTTGCCAAGCATCAGTTTACCATTTCTTTTTATAAACAGAAATGAAGGGCTGTTGTCCCTTACAGCACAGGATTTGCCATATTCCAGCCTCAAACTGTTTGTCCCTTATAATATTGAATATATTCTTTTCTCTGTCCTTTCACGCTCTGGGAGCAGTGTGAGGTCCACAAGGACATCAGCTTGGACAACAGCTACAGCTTGGAAAATAAAGAAAAAGTTATATCCTATATGCTCCCAATAGGGGACACAATACAAATACTGGCTGTTGCCTGGGCAGAGCTCTGCCTGTACTTTTCCTTGCTTGCACCTCACCTCATCCTCTGGCTGCTGAGAACCATCAAGCTGATGGCAGCTGCAGCAGCACCTGGGGAAGGCTGGAGAGAACAAAGCAAGGGAGAGGGAACTCAGAGTCAGAAACCTGCCACCACTTGCTCAGTCCATGGCTGCTGCATGAGGGCCAGAGACTTAGAGATAGGGATTTTTTTTTCTTACTTTGAAATTTGATAATTTGGGGGTGGAAGGAGACCTGCAAAATTCTTTACCCGCAGAGAACCTCTTTCACAGTACTCAATCACCGCAAAGATCATGGTGTCTATCTTCACAGTGCCATAGAACTTGGTCAGGTTGTAATAATCAATCTGTAGGAGCTAGAGCAGAAACATGGCATCTGTTTTTAAAAGTAATCATTGTTAGTACAGAAACACAGGTCAAGGATACTTGTGTGACGTGGCTTTTTATCGCAGGCCCTGATAAGATGTATGAGTTTCCTTTAAACTCGTGTGTACTAAGGCACTGAGTGAAGTACTTGAAGACATTTGTCATTCCAGAGCCTTCTGGATTTGGGAGATAAGAGTGGCTGCTGTTGGATACTGCAAGTTAATTCCAGAGCCCACTATAGTCTCCATTATTGCCTCTCTACTCAAACCTCCCAGTTGACCAGAATAACCATTATGAGTGACAGAAGGTTGTGAATCAGTCAGTAAATGAGCAAGTAGTAAAAATTTAATGATGCTGCATGATATTATGGACTTTGTCCATTTATATAGACAACTGTAATTTACTTTGAGGTATTTTTAGAGCTTATTGAATTTACAGTATAGCTGTGTTGTGTAAAAAGGAAAACTATTCATTCAAAAAAGATGCAGTACTGCGGCCAAATTCATCTCACATGTTGGAAGAGTCTGTATGCACAAGTCAGCAGAGAGTTAATTATATTTAAAGAGCTGCACTTGGCGTTCAATAATAAGATTTAACTACAACATTCCGCTACTAATGAATTAGCATGATATGAGCAAAAAGAGTGCATTGCCTTTTAGCATCAGCTATAAAAATGTATTTAGCAAGGCCATATGACAGAGCATGAATTACTTCATTCATCCTCAGCTTCAGTGGCATACAATTCAGACTCTAACTGATGATGAGATCACACACACAAAGAGAAAGTTCATCAAGCAATATCCTTTGAGGAACTCATTACCCATCCACCTCACAAACATGCACAAACGCATGGCTGTTGGAGTTGACAGTGGAAAGCAATGACTTCACTCATAGGCTCCATCCCACCCTGCAGTGTCCAGTTGCTATGTGCAACAGTTACCTTGTTCAGTTCTATTTTTTGCTTCTCTGAGAAATTACCATCATTGTTTCTGAGATCCTTTAGGATCACCACCTGAAGAAAAAATAACAGTGGGAAAAAAATCATAGGTTTAGTACAACAGCAATTCATCCTTCTTTTCCAAGAAATGTCCATACAAAGAAATGCTTCAGAAACACCTGCCTACTGCTTCACTGTTGGAGTTTCAGTTAATCAGCTAATAAGTAATGGAATTATATTTCCTTCAAAAGATTTACCATGTGGATAGGAACTATTTAGAACTGTCAATGATGCAAATTTTAACTCAACATTAGTATATATCAGTCAGGCAGATAGCTACAGAATGTACAAGAATTGCCATGTAAATGGCCTGTTCTCCATTAATCCATTTATCTCCTCAGTACCAAAATGTATCAGATTTCTGGTGCCTCTGTTTCTGCTTCTGTGCTTCTGGACTAGGCTAGGGGTTCATGGAGTCTAATATTGAGTCTAATATTTTGCCTGCCGTCAGTAAGCAAAATGTAAAGCACCTGATAGGGAATAAATGGCTTATTCTTTCCATAAGATCAAGCCATTTTGCAAGGTCAGGAGAGGTGGAATTGTCCCTGGAGAGGAATGACCTCCTCCCAGAAAGAGCCCTCCTAAGCCAAGGAAGGGAGCATGGACACTGCAGTCAGGTTACCTTCTTGTCATATTTGCCTTGACGCAGTCTCTGGGTGGTGTCACGTCTCTTATCTTCATCGATCTGAGGACAAAGAAGAATAATTAACTTGCAATTATCACTTACTCCCCACTTGGCAGGTCCAGAGAGATAAGTAATGTCAGTGTGTGCCACGCAGAGAAGCATAAGCCTCTCTCTCTAGGGAGTGCCACTACATGCTACAGAAAGTGTGGGACATCCATGCCGCTCCCATGGCTGCCAGGGCCTCCACCTGCTGCTTTCATGCTCTTGGGTGTTACAGAGGCATAACAAAGCACAGGGAAATAATTTGTAACAGTGGTGGTGTGGAAGAGACAGGAAACCAATACCCAGCCCGTTCCCCTATCACAAAATGAGCTTTACTGTTGGGAAGCAGATGTATTCTATTAGGGAGCGATAAATGGGGAATAATCTCTTTTTTCTTCAATACAGCAAGTGAGGGTTAAAAAAAATTTAAAAAGAAGTAATTTTAAGAGATCCTAGTTCTACCAGAGTCATAGCCTGCATTGTAGTCGCAGCATGCCAACACCCCAGCATCGATGGTCTTTAGAAGACAAGAATCCAAGACCCAGCTTCAGGCATTGTGCTTCTCTTACCTTCAAACTAACATGACTTGTCTCACTGGTCTCCAGAGGCAAGATTTGCTCAGGTGGTATATGGGACCATTTCTTCCACCGACGCTCATTATCTCTCCTGTACATCCTGCAAAACAAGCAAACTCGTTCAGAATATCCTCCCAGTGAACCGAAACCCGCAACAGGAGATTAAGACAGGGAAGCTTCCAGTGTCAGGATGACACAAGGATGGAGTGTCAGGTGGGCAAGGCTTGAGCACAAGCCCTGTGGCTCTCTTACAGTTTTCCAGTTTGAGGCTGCTCTAATTCCTCTAGCTTTGGGAAAGCCTAAATGCTCATTCAACTCCATAGACGTAGCAGAAGAACAGAACAGATTTAGCAGAACAACTGCTAGGCAATTGCCAGTCTCAAGGGACGTCAGAACAATGTAAAGCACAAAGGGTCGTCTGGATTTTATATAGTCTTCTCCTCCGTGTTATTGAATGTACTCTGAAGGGAGGTCCCACAAACAAACACAAGCCAAAGGAAGTCCTGGCATCAATCCTGGATGGTAAGAACTGGTGTGAACACAATGCCAGGAGAGGGGATAACAACAGTGTTGAGATGAGATGCCTTTTTGTGTGTGTCCCTTGTATTCTGCACATTTTGTACAACTGATGGAAGAGACCTTGGAACAGGGAGAAGGAAACTGCTGTCTCCCTTGCAGAACTTCAGAGGAGACACTATCTTCTCTTAGAGAAAAGCTGCAAGAAGACTAGCACTCATCAAACTACCCACTTATCCATGCAAGTCCTTCCTCTATTAAAAAAAACACAGGACTGACTGGAGACACTGCAGGGGAATCCCAACACCCTGATGACTGCTGGCAAGTGCTCCAAAGGGGAGAACCCATAGTATTGACTAATAATACAAATATTCCCTTTTCCAACATTTTTAACTCACACATGTATAAGAAAAGGGAGACCAATAATTGTGGTAAGAACTGGTTTTCTCAGTTTAATCCCATAAGCTGTGTTGTATCACCAGGAGGCACTGCAATTCAAACTGGTAACAGCTGGTGATTAAGTACATATCAAACTGAATGAAAATCTACTAGGTTTCATATTTAGTTATGTGTTTTTCAGGACTGCGTTTTTACTTAGCAGTCAGAACTACACAGGGAGGTGTAGGATAGTTCAAGTGTCCTAGAAACTTGGGAGATAAAGAAGGAATAATGAGGCATTTTGTTCATTTTCATAGCTGAGTCTCTCTTCTCCTTTGCTTGTTAGGGGACAATCTTCGGTAGCAATTATAGTTGAGAAGTTTGCTATTATTTCAACACTAAAAGGGCGAGCTTTATTCTAAAAAATCCTCATGAATCTCTTCTATATTTAATGCTTGGGAATATTACAGTGATATGTATACAATAATAATCTAATCATCTAAACAAAATCTTTAGATTTTATGCATCTCTTCTCCTTTGCTTGTTAGGGGACAATCTTCGGTAGCAATTATAGTTGAGAAGTTTGCTATTATTTCAACACTAAAAGGGCGAGCTTTATTCTAAAAAATCCTCATGAATCTCTTCTATATTTAATGCTTGGGAATATTACAGTGATATGTATACAATAATAATCTAAAACAAAAAACAAAATCTTTAGATTTTATGCATCTGCAAATATGGAAGAGTACAGAACAACAAGTCACCAGACAAATTTTTATCAATTTTCATAGCCATTACAAACTTTACCTGTCTGTTTATATGTTAGTGCTTAGATGTGGCAATGATTAGCTCTTCTATTTCTTGAGTACAACTGGATATGTAAGAGTTGTATACCTTCATCTTTGATTTTTCCCTCATGAAAAGCTTTAGTTAGCAAGGCAGATTGGTCCACTCAAAATAAGAGAGCCTGGGTAGTATCTGTTTCTAATCAAGTTTTCTTAAGACCTGATTTTCTCACTTTTTCTGAAGTTCTCATATATAGCAAAGAGGGATGCTGAGCTACTGAAAACAGATGCACAGGTAAGACAATTTTTTACATATGAAAGAAAACCAAATACTTTGGAAATGGGGTGGCATTTCTTCCAGCAAAAGGAGACATCATTGATTTCTATTTCTCCTTTTTCCATCATGATAAAGCTGAACTGTGTTATACTTATGAAATTCTAGATGTTAGAAAAGTCAGTATGCGAGGAGTTGGACTGAGTCAGAGGAAACTGAAAGATGGGGTGGATCCATACAATGAAAACACCAAAACCTCATGGTGTTTTGATTCCTACAGTGACTCAAGACAACTACCTCCTTCTAGATTTAATTTTTATGTCACCAATAGGTTAAAGAAACACAAGTGAACCCCAAGTAAGCTAAAGGTGGGCAGTAAGTGGAAAAAGTCTGAAGATTGGTCTGAGACATATGTTTCTGTGTATGTATGAGTCAGAGCTTTTTAGCAGATGCAAAAACTATGAGCCTTGCTGCATCTTCTCCCTTGATTATTAACCTGACATAACAACGCTACGGATGCAAACACTATTTGGCATATACTAAAGAGTTCACACTGAGGGCAACCACCTAGGTATGTAAGGTAAGCTAATGAATGGTTCTTCAAGGAGACATCAAAGGCATTGCTCTAGGAGGAAAACTGTTCAATGACAAACAGGGGGCCAAAGAGGTTAGTACCTTAGAATCAGCAAAGAGATGATCAGAACCAGAATCACAATTCCTGTGAGCGTAAAGACAGCAATGGTCAAGATTTGTGGGCCTGCATAAAAGAAAATTTGAAAAATAAACAACTTGACAGAAGACACTGAAAAACAATATTATGTTTAAGAAATTACCCTCACCCACACATGTACAAGTCACAGTAGCTAAGCAGGGATATTCTTTGGTCACATCCAAATTGAGAGGCTTTGGTAAAGTCCAGCACTGCCTAGAGGTGACACGTGCCTGCCTCTTTCACTGCAGGATGAAGCATGACCCAGAGCAGTGCAGTCTTACATCCTCACCTGAGGCATGGGCACTCTGTAGGGACACCCAGGTGGGAAGTGAATTTAACAGCACTAAATCTCACATCAGCTCAGCAGCAGAGTTCCCAGGTGTTCTCCTCTTTAAAGACAAACTAGGATAGTCCAGGAATAAAGCTGACTTTTCTTAGTAACCACATTTTAAAAAATGAAGCAGCCAAATTTCTCCTTTCATTAACTTCTTAAGAGAGGATGGTGGAGGCAAACCTTGGGTACAACTCTCTGTGGGATAGGGATGTAGAGGGGGTAAGCAGTTGACCATTTGAAATCAGAGTCACTGGCAGGCAGGAAACATTGTTTTCCCCCAGCATACCCAGGGCTTAATGCAAAATGGGCTCTTCATCAACTTCTTTGGATAAGGCTTTCTCTGAATGGCAGAACAAAGGTTTGGTCCCTACGGTTTTTACCATTAAACACGACACTCAGTGATGACTTTCTGATTCAGGCTTTATAACGTATGTCTTTTCCTTTCCAGTCCTGCTGGGTACCCAGCCAGTGAGAAAGACATGCCTCTCTGACAGTGAATTTTCCACAGCTATCCATACCTTTGTCACTCAGAGTCTTTACTGATATAATTTGCTTCAGGACGGGATACACCTGAAGACCACAGCTTCCACACAGAATTTCAGCTGATACAGAGTACAGCCACTTGTGGATTTGAAAGGCATTTCTCACAAGAACTTGTTATCCAAGAAGAGGTCAAGATGAAAATCATGGTACAGCTTTTAACATACACAAACTTTTCAACATTTTGCACCTGGGTTCTCCCATTATTGACCCAGTTGTTTAAAGTGATTCTGTAGTTGTTGTAGACAGAGCTTTGGAGACTGTGGACTCATTTCTGAACACATCTGTAGACAATGTGTTGGGATGACAAGTGGTACTGAGTGGACTCTACTCTAATACGAAATTCATATGCTATAGAGGGAAATTAATCTCGTGCAGCACAAAGCTGCCAGATTAGTATCCTTGGAAGCTGCCAGGTGGCAAACAATTTGAAAATCAGGCTGTTCAGGCATCTGAGGACTTAGACCCAAAATCACAGAGCACACGAGGGTCCTAGTCCTGAGCAGGCAGGCAGAACTGGCAAGGCTGGGAACTGATTATTTAAGGTTGTAATTTTGATTGTCTTAATGTGGAAAAGTGAACTGAAGCCTGTCTTGGGTCAGGGTGTGAAAAAGTGAACTGAAGCCTGTCTTGGGTCAGTTCTTGGAGTTCAGGGGTGCTGAGAAGGAAAGTTGTGGCCACCAACTTCCTTTGAAGAACAACAAGCCATTAGTGCAGAGCTTCGTCTGGTGGCCAGATGTCTAGAGTGTACCTACTCTACTGAGCAAGTCTCTCAGGTGAAGAAGGCAGAGGAGAATCTAGTTTCGCAGATTGCCATGTTGGTTATGGATAGTAAAAAAGCCGAGCTACTCAGCCTTACTGAGGCTAATGCACTTCTGCGTGTGCCCAGAAACAGAAATAAAGGCACACAGGAAAACAATAAAGTGTACAACTTAATAAATAAATAAAAAGCAACAAGACACACACTAGCTGCCTCCAGAATCAAACACCAGCTGGGCAGGGATTTTGAACATACCAATGTGTCTGCATCTGACATAGAATTCAGTTTAGGAACTCTGGATTTTGGACCCGAAGCTTTCTGGCTTTGACTTTTTGTTCTGTATATCACGTCTCCCCACCTTCTTTCTGTGTGTTCATCCCAGCATCAGTCTCGGGGCCTCCTAGTAACTTAGTATTAGTCTGATGCTTCTCTATTGAAAACTGTCAGTACTACCGTTTCCCTCCACCAAGGAAGGACATTAAGTTACCACTATAAAATGACATATACATGAGAATGTGCAACGTCTTTTCCTACGAATTCTCTAAAACTTAAGCGTTGTGAATAGTGGCTTGCAGCTTAACAATCAGAAGGTTGAAGCTGTCCATGGAAGCGCTCTGGGGCCGCAATCTCCCATTCCTGATGATCTGCTACCACCTCCTGGCTCTTAGTATTACAACACACAAAAGGAGAGTACATCACAAATGAACTGTTTTCAGGTCCTCTGGAACCAGAAACGTTTGCATATTGAAGGCTGACCTTACCCATGTTTAGAGCGAGGGTTCAAACTTTCTGAATAATGGCAAAATGTGGATTAAGCCCCTTTTTTTAAGGGATGCCAGGAGCAAGCAGGGTAGCAGAACTGGGTCAGCTGTTCTCAATAACAGCTTAGGAAGGAGCAGGGCTCTGGTTGCTGTGTTTGTTCACCTCCCTGGAGGAAAAAACATTTTTCTGGTTGGAAAGTTTTGACTGGCTTTGGCCGTACTTAAACTTACTTAAACTTTGGCCACAATAAGTTGCCCTTTGGAGGAATATACTTGTTTAAAATCACACTGAAGGAAGGTTTATTTTTTAAAAATGTGAAACCAAAATAATCCAGTGCCTGTGGGAGGTGGTTTTACTTTGATTTAGTATAGCTTGGCCACAAAGTCAGGCCTTTGTTAAATGCTGAATGTTGAGCTACTAGTTTGTAGACACTGGCTTTCTGCAATTCCCAAAAATTTTTCTTTTGGCCTTGTACAGCAGCTTCAAACAAGGATGTACTCAGGGGAATGTTTTAAAGACACAGATATCCTCTGACAACACAGTGTGTTGTGGGGAGAGGGGATGAATGGGAATGGGACTGGAGCAAGACTGAGAAGCCTGGGGCCAAGCAGCAAGCCCTAGTTTGAAGCCATCTGATTTACGTTACTGAGGAATAAAAGTGTTTGAATCCATGTACCACCTTGCTGTGAATGGACTTCTAGTTATCAGAACGTGTTTGTTCCTCCAGTTATTGGTTTGCATTGTAATATTCCCTAGTGGAGGTAAGCAATACAGCAAACTAGTGGAGACCTTTAGCAGAGACCTTTGACAGAGGCACCTTTGGACACTCACTGATGGGGATGACTCAGGTGAAAACTAACCCCTTGCAACCACCGCCACTGCAATAATTTTTATCCTGCATATCATACCCTGAAGAATATACCTTTCCATTGCCAATCACCATATGGCAGCAGTCTACATGGGGAAACAATCCCAATCTGCTCAGACTGACAAGGCTGTACTCTGCTATGCTGAATTACAAGGGGATTCAACTGTTCTATCCAGGAGTCACCAAAAACTCAAAAGAAATGGAGGTGGTGATTTCTGGGATTTCAGATTTAAAGTTTGAGTGGAGATAGAGCAACAACCTAGTTTCCCATTTTTTTTCTGCAAGGAGCCAGCTCACCAAAGAGACCCCTCCAGAGAAGCACCCTGAATCTGCACTGTGCTGTGTCCTCTCCCCAGTTCCCTACAACAAGGATAAAGGGGCAAGCAGAAGCCACCGTGCTGTATCAGCGATATAGGAAAGGAAAGGGGAAGGAAAGATACTGTTCAGCCCTCAGCTCCTGGCATCACTGGCTGGTGGCATTGTGAAGGTAGCGTGCTGGATTGCACAGCAGGCGGATCTTAGGGCTGTGTGACTTGTCTTCGAAGAAGAGGTAGGTTTAATGGGTGTCTCACCAGTGCTTGGCATATCACTGGGCAGCTTGTGGTTCTTCCAGACAAAATCCGGACTGGTAGTCATCACGTGTGTCTCGTTCTTGCGAGTGTTGAAATATAGAAGAGTTCTGAACTATGGGTGTAGCAGGGAAGAAATACAGTCAGCAGCTGTGCTCTCCCTCTTTTGTCTCTTGCTTCAAACTACCCTTAATAAATGTATTGCCCAAACTCAAAGTAATTCTTGCTCTTTCTGCTACAGTGGTGCATTCCTCAGCTTAGCCATATGTTTGGCTGCCATAGTCTTCATCATTCCTCCCCTCTCTCTGAAAAGAAATGTATCAGTCCCACAAAATACCAGCTGCACTTCACTTACTGAATCACCAGATGACATCAATCCTGTCAGTCTCCAGCACGCTTCTCATGACCCCCTCCTGGCATGGAGGCACATGCCTTGGCACACCAGCACTTCCGCTGTAGTTATTGTCATCATTCTTATGCAATAGTACAGGGCATTTTGTTTCTCCTTTCATATATAAGGTAAAACAATTGCTCCCTTGCACATACGTACATGATTTGCAGTCTGTGGTGTGTACAGCAGGGTCAAATTGGTATCAATGTCTCCAAATTCATCTAGAGTCACAGGACCCCGTACACCTGCGGACACAAGGAATTAGTCAGAGGGCTTGCATTCTCAGAAACACAAATATGTGGCAGGAAGGATGGGATAAATAAAAGGATTTCTGATGCTCAGGATATTTTTCTTCTTCAGGTACATGCTAGAATACATATTAGCTTAGTGTGGCGCTACTTCTCCCTTAATAGCATGCTACATTTTCTCTACAAAATCCAATAAAAGCTGTTGAACTGACTGCACTGAAGAGGAAAGTCTCCCTCTAGCTATAGAAAAATATATTTGTCAGGTTTCTTCAGCATACCAAGAATGTCAGAGTAACCTCCCTTGAAGGGACCATTTTAGAAGTGAGAAGGGAAATTGCCTGTTTCCACCTGCAGTTTCAATCTATCAGCAAGAAAGGAAATAAAGGGGTACTTTCATTCCCCTTACTCTTTCGAGAGCTACCTGCTTGGCTCTAATAGTATTATTTTAACCAAGTTCTTTTTCCCTTTAACCTCCTGTCTCTGTATCTCAGCAAATGTGCAGACTGAGAAATTGCCTATGTAGCACATTCCAAGGATTTTAAGGTGGAACTTCCTAAGTCCCTCAGCGTGGCTTGACTTTGCTCTCATGAAGTCAGTCATTTCAACAAGAGCACAAGCTTAGCCAATACCCACCACTCCTGAAAGTCTCACCTTCATGTTTTTCCTTCTTTTTTCAGGAGAGTCTTTTTGAACAGCTTCAGATTGCTCTTTTGCTGCTGTTGCTGATGACTTATTTTATTTTTCCTAAAGTTCAGCATCATCATTATTTTAGTTCAGGAATTATCTTCTCCCTTTTCACCTCAAAAACCAATGCTAAGTTTTTCATGGTCCACCTTCTTAATATCAAAATAATTATCGTATGCACTCCCTACTCTACCAGCCTCCAGCACAAGAATGAAGGTGGTTCAACACCTTTCACTTTTAGGACTTTTTTTTAAAACTAAACCTATAACTAATGTGGAGCATTACAGTGCAAGAATTATTTCAGATAAGTAAAAAAGTTTGTGCAACTTACCTTTCAAATTTAGAGTGAAACTGAAGAGATGAGTTTACTGATATTCAAAAAAGGATGCTGTCTCCAGGAGGAGTTAGTAAACTGTATTTTGCTAGGTTTGGGATACCATGGTTAAAGCAAAGATAAGCACAAAACCTGTTAGGCCATATTAGGAAAATCTGGGAAACTTCTACACGTGTTTGCTGAAAGCAGGTGGGACATAAACACAAAGCTTTAAGTCGTCATTTTGGTACAGATCTCTGATGTGAAGTGATAGCTGGGACTTTGCTCCCAGAAAGGTAATGTTGTTACTTCTTTGTGTAAGTATTGCCTCTGTCTTTTCCTAATGATTGAATTCTGTGATTTTAAGCCCGTGGCCTACAAAAGCCCACTGGTGCTAGACAACCTGTGAGAGGAACAAGAAAGTTGACTAAGAAGAGCCAACCCATTGCCAGCTGGCTTACACTCACACTGCAGGCACCCAGGCCTACGATGGCTTTGTAAAGTGGAAAAAGGTTGAAACTACTTCATTAAAGATTAGTTAAGTGGACTTCAGAGTCATTTTGAACATCAACCATATTTCATACGTACTGGCCTCAAGTCAAGACCAGACCTTTGGGGGAAAGCTTAGAAATGCCACTGTCGCGAATTAACAACCTGAATGCCAGGTTGCCTCTGGAGGAAGCATGGACTCTGAAACCCACCTATATGCTTCACTCTTCCAGCTCCTTTCTCATTCTCCAAATAGTCTCCCTATAGAGAGCTCAGCTTTTTGTCAAAAGAATGACACCAGCTTCAGGTCCCCATCTCTGTCCTCCATCTCTGCTGGCTGGGAAGCTCTGTCCCTCCTCCTTCCCCCAGCCCTCCTTAGGCAGCAATAGTCTTTAAATGTGCTTTGTACTTCAACGCAACAGCCCAGAAAGGAGTCTGGTCCTCAAGCAGTCTGTTGCTAATTGCAATGTTTCAAATGATCATTATTTTGACTTTCTACCTCTTCTGTGTTGCATGCACTGAGGTGATTCTGCACGACTGCTGTGTAGTGCTTCTGCTAATACTGAAGATGACATCCTTGGAAAAAATGATAGAAAAAGAAAAAAGAGTGGGAATAAAACTCATTGAAGGCCTTGGACTTGTTTAGTGCAAAAGTGACTTATCCTAAGAGTGCTTAAAAACAAATTTCTTTCCCCTCATCAATTTAGTGAACCCTGCACAGGACTGTACTTTTTTTACCTTCAAAAGTGGTATTTCGGAATTCATTGATGAAACTGACAGGTGACACTGGGCTCTGGGAGACGATAAATTTCTTCAGAATATGTCCAAACAGCAAGACTGCATTAAAATAGCCAACAAAAAAGTCATCTTCCGTCTAGAACAGGAGAAAAAGAAAAATGGCAATTTGAGAGTTCACGTTTCTGCCTTAAAGCTACAATATCTTTTGTGGTCTCCATTTGGCAAAAACTCCAGCATGTAAGACCAGAATCTGCTGAACACTGAGTGAGTAGGTGGGCAATGCCACATCAGCATTCTTCGCTTGGAAAAATAAAGGTAAACAAAATATATTTTTGGTGTATGAAGACAGGGAGGTGGTGAAAACTTGTAAGAGGCCAATGTAAAGCTCTGGCATGCTGATTCCGACGCAAAGGATTCAAGAAATCCTACATTGTAGGTTCTGGGCAGGTCTGCTCTGTGGGACCCAAAGCCCCTGGCTTTGGATTAGACTTTCTGTGCAGATAATCCGGTGTGGTGCCAGCAAGTCTGGGCTTTCAGATGGCCACAGCTCAGGGGCAAGGAGCTGTGCCAGAATTTCCAGCAGCCTGCCATAGCGCTGGCACCCAAAAAGTGTTGAGCCCAGGCTGGGGGATCTGGAAGCCCTGTAAATCCATCCAGAAGCTTCAGGCTGCCTGCTGGAGAGTTGGAGCTCAAAGCCACAAATCCTGGGAGGAACTCTACGTGTAGAGTCTGGTTCCTGGGCAGACGGCAGGAGTATCAGTTTCACTAAGCAGATACAGGGTTTGCATAGTTTCTGCTTTTCAAGAAATTAAAAAAATACGTATTTCCTACAGAAAAAAAAGGTTTTTGAAGTTTGAAGTTTAACTGGAAAGTCCCTGGACAGAAACAGCAATGGTTGCCACTGCTTATACATATCTGCGCACAAAAATCAGTCAACAATTATTAGTTCTGAACTTTCCATGCTCATATCTCGATTACACCTATAGATCTTCCTTCAGTGATGCCTTGCAGCTACATATAAGATTGTCAGTCACTCAGAATTGAAGTCAGAAGGCCATGTTTTTTTTAAAAAAAAAGGTTCCTGTTTTTGAAGTTTAACTGGAAAGTCCCTGGACAGAAACAGCAATGGTTGCCACTGCTTATACATATCTGCGCACAAAAATCAGTCAACAATTATTAGTTCTGAACTTTCCATGCTCATATCTCGATTACACCTATAGATCTTCCTTCAGTGATGCCTTGCAGCTACATATAAGATTGTCAGTCACTCAGAATTGAAGTCAGAAGGCCATGTGCTTATAAGTCTCCCTCACGTCCCATGAATGTGACACTTGCAGACCAAATGAAAAGCTTGAGTTGAACTTCACAAAGCAGGAATATGAGAGCCTGTATGTTTGCCTTATGATATTGTATTTTTACATCATTACAGCAGGACAAAATGTCATCCTGCGATAATGTAAGAAAATACCAGCATGGAAGCATGATGGGGGATGATTACAGCTGCATTTTTAGTTTTCATTTTCTAGTGCATGAACTTGAATGAACTGAATGCAATAATCAGATATAAAATAGTGTGGTTACCAGGATGGTGTCTTCAGTCTTTGTGGTATTCAAGCTGTCATTAGCTGGTAGCAGAGTCAGGACAAGTACATTCTGCATGTAATGGGCTGAGTTGTTGTTCCTGAAGTACATGTTACTGCAAGCAAAGCACAAGGACCCCACAAACAATCAGCAACAGGGGCAGTGGTAACCATGACAGAATCACTCTCCTGTCCCCAGCAGCACTGTTATTTAACAGGTTAAAACAGTAGTTCTAAAAATAAAATTTCATCATGGACAAAACTTTTTATGTTGTTCATTCCCTGATGCCAGCTTCTGTGCTTAACTACATTAAAAGGTAGTATCAAAGAGATCTGGCAATCTGAAACTCAAAGGTTGCAGTGAATTATTGTTATTATTGTAACTGTTTGGTTTCTGTCCTGTTTATTTCCTCTTCTTTCAAGCAGGAGTTTATATTTATTAAAACTGAGTTCTCTTCTTGGAATCCACAGTACTGCAATCTGTTGTTTCTTCATGTTATTGTGCATGTTTCTGACCTCTTCTGCACTGTTTTGCATGTTCCTCTAATTTTGATATTTCCTGCTAGAATTGATCACAGCAGGATTTGCACTAAAAACATTTAACAGGAGGGCATGAAACAATCAGAGAGGTGCAGAGAGCAGCTTATTGATTTATTTGTTTAATTCAGTGAGCTACGAAAATCAGAGGAAACTATGTGAATTTGAAAACTATGCTAAAACAAGCAGAAAAGGTCGTAGCTTTCAGGTATCTTTGGTTTCATCACCCTGATAGGCCATCTGGAAGTGCTTCACAGACTGGCAACCTCTGGATTCACATGTTGCAGAGGAATTTATTAATAGATATTAGTGTCAAGTGGCAGCATCTGTCATTGCTATAGCTAGATTGATTAAGGAAAAAATTGTATGAGCCTTCTCTCATTATTCAAGTTTGATCATCCTTTTATTTTTCAGTCAGTACTGTATTAAGAATTTTTGAGGACCACAGGCTCCGCTCCACGGCCATCAGATGGGATCCTGACACCAGAGCCCTGTCCCTGCCTTTCCCTGAACCTTCTGACTTTTACATTGCACTTTTCACTCTGAAGAATTTCAAAGTGCTTTGCATTCAGGCTTGGACTGAACTAGCCAGGTGAAAAGGAAACTTCATTAGACTCTGCCAGACTGGATAATCCTGCAGCATCCCACCTTCCTTGAGGGAGGCTTAAACACTGTGTTTGTGTCCTGGCTGCCAGAGGGCTCAGAGCTTAAGAAAATTTAAATCCATCACTTTGTCTGAGGGACTTGACTCCTGGAGAAGCATGGGACCTCGCCTACTGTCTTCTCCTACAGCTTGAGTTTGGATCTAACACGTGTCTGTATTTTGTTTCTGTTTTAAGAAGAAGAACATGATTTGAGATATTCAGCAAAATCAGGGTATGTAGCAAATTTAAGGAGGGCAGCATATAAAATGGGCTGAGGCAGCTGGGTGTATCAGAAGGATGCATATGATAGCAGAGAAGCCCCTAATCACCCTCAACTGTTGTGAGGCAACAATTATACATGCAACACCAGTAAGTAAAAGCACTCACGTACATAGTCCCCATTGTGCATTTGCAAAGAAACAGGAACTGTAGCCAGTTGCCTCAGGAAAAGCAACTGGGGATTCCTAGTGCCTGTATAAAGTGGTGGACAGTCTAAAGCTCTTAGAGGCACTTCTGAAAAATATATATGGTGAACTTGAAAGTGTACAGGACAGAGAAGATCCTGTTAGAACTTGAACCACAGGCTCCAGTTTGTACCCAAAGAATAAATGACTGAAGTCATTAATTCAAAGTGCCTCAGCCCTGCCCTGTCAAGGTCAGCTTTAGACGTGAGGGCTGGGAAGTCCCACAGGCCCCGGAAGTTCATGGATTCTTTTGCTACATCAACAGTGAAATAAGTAAGATCGAGACATGGGCACATACATTTGCCTTGTGATCATCCATACCATTAAGCTGCCAGCACTGTCCCGGGCCTGGTTTTGGTTTAGGCCAACTAGCTTTCTCCCAGATTGTGACCTACTACGGTGACCGGAGCCATACCCAAAAAGCAATTTGGGCATCTACACTCAGCCATATGGATGTGAGCTGTGCTGTGTCACTTAGGGCCAGAGATCAGCTCTCAGTCCTCGTATACAGACAAAGCTTTTGAGGCTACTATTAATAAGGCCAGTTTATATCAGTCCTCATCTATAAAGATTTTGTAATTAGTAATATAGAGATGAAATTGAACAACAGAAAACTTAGGTCGTATACTAAGAAACGTCTCTGAAAAGTTAGATTTATGTAGTTATAAAGAAGTTGAAGAGGCAGTTATGAAGTGGAAGAGTTATAAAGTGGAAGAGACAGTTGTACCACTCTTAAATCATTTAAAAATGGAATAAACGGAGCCTAGAAAAATATACTGTAAGCCACATTTACATAATTGTCTGGTTGGGCAGATTGTATGAAAAATCTACAAAATCTCATATGAACAGCTTTTTTGACTTTTTGACAGACCATTCTGACTTTGGACTCTGTGGTTCCCTCATGGCCTCCTGCACTGAGGAGTCCACAGGATGACGTTAACCCTACCTGCTCTGTCACTGCCTTAGAAAAATATTGTGTGAACTAAAGGGGATGTTGTAGCGTATGTGCCATGAATTAAACACTAAGCAGCTTAGATAAATGGCAAGACTTGAGGAAAGATGGCAATGGAAAACATTTTGTGAGAGAACATTTCTTCAACAAAACAGTTCCACTCAGACTATTTCCACTATCTCTATCCTTCAGCAAACTGTAGAGAAAAGAGGAAAAGCAAAGGTAATACTTTACTTGAAGAGATCTATCAGGATGATAACAATGTCCTTATCCACTTGCACCGTCCCTAGGTCTGTGCTGACGTCAGTGGGAGAGCCACACATGATGATCACTACAGATTGGGCAAAAATGGAGACAGATTGGTGAAAGGTACAGACAAGAAGAGGACATTTGCCTGCTCCCCCGTGCTTGAGCAGCAGGCAGTAGAGCAATGCTGGGCTAAGGCACATTACCTGTGCTGTGCTGGGGCCCAGGCACAGAGCTACAGCCTCTGCAGCAAGACCGGGATATTTGAGGGAAAGTGGTAAAAGGTGCCTCAACACCTGCACCATTTTCTGTCTGACTGCACCATTATCTCACTCAAATAAGCATTGGCAGTTCTAATGCAATATGGGCTACTGAATATGAACATTTCTAAGTTAAATGGCATTCAAGTAATAGTTTCATTGGCTTACTTATTACTCTCACACTCACTTGGCCTGCTGATGCCAAGTGCTTAGTCAGGAGAAGATGAGGTATTTACTCATCCATTTTTCTAGTTTAGATGGATCACTTCCAGAAGAAGAGCCCCTTGATGGCACAAATGAGGCCCATATATGTACCAGGGCTGCAAACACAGGGATGGTAGAGAGCTAAGCATTCTTGTGGTATCTAAGGCCCTTCTTAGGAGGAGTTGTGATTCCTGGATTTCTGAATCTTTCACAAAACAGAGCTTGTGCCTAGATGGGATAATTCACCCCAAAAGCTCTCTAGAACCAGGATGTTCCCCCATATTTTATGGGGTGGAGAGAGGAATCTAGGAACTTTGTGCCATTTTATGTTTGCATCCATGTGAAATGATATATCTGCGTTTCTCCACCATTTCTGTGGAAAGACTATCCCTAAAATGTAACTAAGGGGTAGGTCTGATTTCCTGGGAAAAGCAACTTACCTGCAGGGGAGACTGCACCCTCAGCCCCCCCTTACCATTGCTTTTCCGCTTTGGATCTTTCACAGTTTTTTTAAGCTGCTCCGGAGTCCTTAAAATCTCCTTAAACTTCAGTTTTTCAGAGAAGTGTGTGACTCCAGCATCTAGCGCATTCATGTACCTGACACAAGGGAGCACAGACATTGTCAGAAAATTGCTAACTCCTCACATTCTCCTAAATAAGCCAAAATGCGAGATAGGCTGTTTACAGGACACAAGAGTGTTTGTAAGGCAGAATAAAACACTTTTTTCTGCAGCAATAGAAGAGAGAAAATCAATACAGAGCATGAAAGACTTAGAAGTGTTTGGAAAGTCACCCAGAGGTATTTGAGCCTGGTTGTACAAAGGACGGGTTTGGAGAATACAGTGATGTAATAAGACATTAACAATTAAGAAAAGAAATCAGGGATATGGGGAAATTATAGTAAGACTAACTGGGAGACAGAGCCAGGAAGCTCTGCTGTTTTAAGACATCAGTGGTAATCTTAGAAGACACATGTGAAGGTTCAAAGGAGTAAATGGGAGCTGCAGAAAGAACTGAGATAAAAAACACACATATACCCTGACTGTGAGAGAAGGAAAGGAAGGAAAGTAGCAACAAAAAAAACCTATAATGAGTCAGTTAAAACTTGAAGGGGAAAAATGAGGACAGCAAAGAAAACAACCAAGTGAGTAAAAGCTAGCTAAAAGATTAAGCAAAAACAGCCAACTCCTAAATCCTATTCTTGCCTCAACATGTTGTGTCTGAGAAGAGACATTCTGTCTGAAATAAAGTTAATGCAGAGGGAAAACCAAAAGAAATCTCTTTGTTTTCAAACTGCTTAACTTTTGATCTAGCAACACTGAGATCCCAGTCCCATAAACTACTAAATATCTTTTGCTTCCCATTTTTTTTCAGGAACAGAATCATTAACCATTAATTTACAGGAACATATGCATAGTTGAGACATAACCTAATTTTGCTATCACTGTGGGTATTCACTTATTTTTATACATATATGGGGAAAACAATTAGCCCATGCAGTATAACTTGTGCTTTAGCAAAAATGGATTTTTTAAATTAGACAGTTCAAAAACCTTCAGGTTCTATTAAAGCAGAATGAGATGCACTTTTACAACTATATTAGGATGAAAAATGGTCAGAGATACAAAATTAATTTTGATTTTTTCTGTTAATTCAACAAGAAAGAGAAGGAGCTGGAACAGTTCTGAAGTCATAAAGAAGGTCCTGAACAGAAGTATTAATAAAGACAAGGTAAGAAACACTTGGGAAATAACTTACATGCATTGACTTCCCTGAAAGGTATGAAACCTGAAGAATTAAAGGGATTTAGCTAAAATGTGTGTAGTGCATTGTCAATTACAGCTGCGAACATGGAGAAATAGGGATTGTAGTAAGAGAGAAGCGAAGTGCACTGATGTTTCAAAGCATCAAAGGGAGGTAATCATAGCAATTACATCATGTGATCAAGTTGCTATCTATACTAAAAAAGAAGGAGGAAACAATAAAAGTCCCTAAATATCTACAAAACAGTGAATTGGAGATCAGATTTTAGGCCCCTTAATTCAGAAAAAAAAATTAAATTCTGTATACAAAATATTATGTAAGTACATGCCTATATCACTCTGAAGGCAATACAGACATAAATTTTGCTTAAAATTCTGCAAGTTCCTCAGGTTATGAATTGGAAAGATAAATAATAGATATTTCCATGAATTCTTGGCTGCCTTTGAGCTACATTTGTAAAATTAGTAGGAGAAATGAGATTTTTTTTAATTAATCAGCATTTTATGTCCCAAAATTGGAAAAAAATTCAAAGGAGCATAGAAACACTCACATGAGCTGAAAATTAAATGAGTCAATAAAGAAGAGTAATGATAAATATCAGTATATTAAAGAGTCTATTTGACTAAAAACAGCCTTTGATTTTAGGCAAGGACAAAAAACAGTATTCTTGAGATTCAAGGACAGACTGATGTTTCAGGTCACAAAGTGAAGACATCTCCTTTGCTCCAAACTGGTGAGAGCATAGCTTAAACTGTGCAATCACTGGGGGTCATTTTGTTCAAAGAAAGACACAGTTTGAACTTTGGAAATGTTTTGGAGTAACAACAGTGCCCACAGATTGAAGCCATTGATGTGGAGAAACATTACAAGAGCTTGATAAAACCCCTGACCTAAAAAGGCATCTATGGAGAGCCGGATGGAGGAGCCTCTCATGTCACACTATTTACATCAAGGATGCAGTAAACAGGTATTTCCAGCAGGGACAACATGTGCGCTGTGCTATCCACAGGAAAAGCCAAGGCTTGAGAATACTTAAAAGTAGACTGAGTGAAACATTCAGATATGAAATACAGCTAAAGGGTATAATTCATGTTTTCCTTCTCTCATTCCTTGGTTGCCGTAAGGCACCTCCCAAAATGTAGGACTCGAAGGACAGCTTGTAAGAACCATGCCTGAGGATGGAGATGGAGTTTATCAACAGCCGGGTCAGAGGTGGATCCGGATCTTACCAGATGCATGCCTCCGAGTTTTCATTCCTCTTGTAAATGTAGGCAGATTCCCAGGTTATGGTTTTGAATGGCAGCCAAGATTCTTTCCAAAAATAATAGAAGAAATCATTCACTTTCCTGGCTGGGGTCAGAAGGCGGGTTAGGTTTACTTTGTAGTCACAGGACAGTCCAAAACTCCCTACAGAGATCAGAGGCAGGCTCAGTATTGTTTCAATTCTGAAGGGAGAGACAAGAGGACAAGTCTGAACGGATTGCTGTTGCACCAAGGCAGCTACCACGTGATTTCCATCCTCAGCTCCCTCTCCTCTTGTGCCCTGCATTAGTTTAACAGCAATTTGAACCTGAAACAGAAGACTTCTCAAGAACACAAGCAGATTTCAGGTCAATATTGGCACTGAAAAGCCCCATTGAACTGGTCCAGGCAGCTTCTCTCACTACCCCCAACTCCCCGTGCCCTTTTGGGTATCATGCACCGTTTCAGCCCAAGGGCTGTGACAGGAGTCCAAAGGCTCAAGGACCCATCCGATTCTGCTCCCCATCTGCCATTAACATGGGATGAATTTGATCTCTTTATTGGGGTAATGCCGGAGGGTGACAGCTTTTTGCCATCAAAAAAGCTTTACTCCTTTTAGTTTCACTATGGCATATTTTAGGAGCTGTACAACAGCAGCAGTCAGGGAGAAAAACTAAGGCAATCCTCTGCTGGCAGGGAATTTGTAAAACAAAGATATTTTTTATCCACAGAGACAATAAGTTTTAAAGGATAAAAGTATTTTCCTAGATGCTGCAATCTTATGACTAGACTCAAAATATTTTAGTTCTTGTATGGTAAGTGGTTTTTTATAACAGGGAATTTTGCCTGCAAAAAACATGGCCATCAGAGTTGTTGTCATAATTGTGACAAAACTTTATTTTCCAGGTAAAGCCCACTTACCAAATGACAGGGTTTATACTTGTTGCAACAGTAACAGGCACAGATGATGTAACAAGTAATGCCAAGGAAAGTATTTCACTAGTGAAACAGACATTTTTCTGACTGACTTAGAATAGAATAGACTATTTCAGTTGAAAGGGACCTACAACTGCCTGAGCAATTGTCCTGGTTTTGGCAGGGATAGAGTTAATTTCCTTCCTAGTAGCTGGTACAGTGCTCTGTTTTGGATTTAGGACAAGAACGAAGTTGATAATGCACCAATGTTTTCGTTGTTGCTGAGTAGTGCTTACACTAGTCAAGGATTTTTTA